AAAAAAAAAAAAAACCAAATGAAATTACTAGGCCCAATTTGCATGCCCACCTTAAGGTACTGTGAAGTATTGGAATAGGAGAAGGTGTTCATTGCATGGAGTCCTGTTTGAACAAGGATACTGTTGACTTTTGGTAAGAATATAAAGGGGATATTGAAGTTGAGAAACCCTAGGAAACCAAGATTAAAAGTCCTTAACAAACAGGGGAGACAAAGAGTACCCCAGGCTCTGGTAGTGGTTGTGGAGGAGGCAGGTATGTTCTAGAAAGGAATGCAACTCACTGTGCTGCAGAAATATCTCCTCTTGGAACTTGAAAGACAGGAGAGTGAGGGCTTGAGTATGGCTAGACTTGTAGCCTGCCTGGATGCTAGGGGACAGCCACTAGAAGATCCTCAGTTTTTTTTCAGAGAGCCTGGGATAAAACATATGAGTGACATGGCCACCACTCTGACCTAGTAACCCCCCTCCCTTGGGTGGAAATAGGATGTGTTAATTTGTCTTTGGTCCCATCTCATCCGCATTTCCTGCTGTTTAGCCGTTCTGTAAGGAGCTATGATGATAACTCTTTTTGTCAAATATGGGCATCAGTAGCATATGGTTTCTTTTTCTGGTGTCTTGACCCTCCCTTAACTTGGTGGCTCTACCTGGGTCCTCTTGGATTTCCACCGGCCCCATGTCCTTACTATGTCCAAGGATCATGCCAATCCTACCTCCTCCTTAGCTATCTAAGGGCAACTTACTGTACGCAGTTATGTCATTAGCCCTGGCATAACTCTCTTTTTTCCCTTTCCCTGACTCTCACATCTAGGGCTCCTCTGAGCCCACAGCACGACCTAGACAGAGGATCTCTGTCTCCTGACAGCTGTCTCCTTATAATGCCCCTTTCAAGTCTCTTGTGCTGTGGCACAGAGCGCAGATGTGGTATACCAGGAATAATGTTAGTTCCAGAAGTGCCTCTGTCCTGATTGGCTAAGTTTTTAGGATATGGCTTTTGCTTTTTATCTTTTGGTGTCATTTTTTTTGTTTAGCATTTAAATTTTGCTCTGGACACTGGGTGTTCTTTGAACCCCAGCTGATGGCTGGGGCCCTCATGCTTCACTGAATTGCTACCAGGTGTTCTCTGGAAATAGCACTGGCGCTCAGTTGCTGATAGGTGTAATGTCTCATCATACCAATCTCTTGATGCTATCCTGTTCTACCGAGTCTCTGGATTTTACAATAGCCTAGAAATGTTCTCCATTGGTTGAGACTTCTGTACCTTTCCCTGATCCGTGCCAAGAATGGCCTGGTAGTCCAGGAGACCTAGTTCCTATAGTGATTTCAGTCCTATAGCCAGACCTGAGGTTCTGGTGACATTGCTTTATATCCTTTATACCAGCCATCTCCATTTACCTACTGTAGCACTTCAGAATTGCCTATCCTGTAGGATGGAAGCCACTACATCTGGGCATATGGGGTCATCCTAGCCCAGAGATGGCTGGGGTATATTGAGAAGGCACTAGTCCTCTTGTCTTCACTGCATCGTAGGAAGTGTGGTTTAATAAGCTTTCTGTATTGCTGTAAGCCTTCTCATTTCTAAACAAAGCCTTGGCTAGCAGAGAGATAGACACAGAGCTTACTGTAATAGTGTATGGCAAGTGCGTGTCTAGAAGAGAAACTAAATCCTCCTCAGTGGGAGAGTGTCTGTCATGGAGGGCTTCAGAGAGGAGGGATGCAGTGGAGTTTGCAAGGCGAAGTGTGCAGTGGGCACCCTGACTCACCATGTCCTCCTCTCTCTGGCAGTGACCCGCCATAATCACCTCAAGGACTTTATGCTGGTGGTGTCTATCGTTATTGGTGTGGGCGGCTGCTGGTTTGCCTATATCCAGAACCGCTACTCCAAGGAGCACATGAAGAAGATGATGAAAGACTTGGAGGGGTTACACCGAGCTGAGCAGAGTCTGCATGACCTTCAGGAAAGGTAAGGCCCTGCCCCTTCAGGAAAGGTAAGGCCCTGCCATCTCTTGGGAACCTCCCATTTCCACCTGGGTATGAGCCACTTGGAATCTGAGACCTTGCCAACATGGCAGCCCAGGCTGCGTCATCCTTACAAAAGTGTATTGCAAGTCTAGGTTGATAGTCTAATTGTCATGGGCAGTTATTCCTTCTGGGGAGAAGCTCGTTTCTATCTTTTTTGCTTCTTAGCTTCAGAGGGAGAAATGTGTAGCTGCCAGAGGTCTTGAGCTTCCCATGGCTTGTTAGGAGGTCATTCTAACTTCATCCTGTCTCTGGACTGTTTCTCCTAGCATATAAATAGATATAATTAATTGTTCTTTACTGTTCCTCAAAGAAACTTCACAGACCTTCCTTCTTACTGTCCTTAGTTCTTTCTTATATGGAATCTAAATCTCATCAACACTGACTTGCTATATGACTTTGGTTAAATCTCTTTCCCTCCCAGGACTTATTTCCTCATTGGTAATATGAAGGGATTGACCTAGGAGAATGCTAAATTCTCCTTGGAGAATACTTCTAACTCAGATGGTCTGGGATTCTGTTGAAATAAAATATGACTTCAAAACTATGGCGGAAGATTTGGCTGTGAAAAGAGTGCCCGTCAGTCAGTCAGTCAGTCAGTCAGTCAGTCAGTCAGGCAGTCAGTCAGTCAGCCAGCCAGCCAGCCAGCCAGCCAGCCAGCCTGTGTACTTCCTGACATCTAGGAACCAGTTTTGTGATGGCAGTTGTAAGAAATTCATTGTTCCTCGGCCAGGCGCGGTGGCTCACACCTGTAATACTAGCACTTTGGGAGGCCGAGGTGGGCAGATCATGAGGTCAAGAGATCGAGACCGTCCTGGCCAACATGGTGAAACCCCGTCTCTACTAAAAATACAAAAATTAGCTGGGCATGGTGGTGTGCACCTGTAGTCCCAGCTACTCAGAAGGCTGAGGCA